TTGTAGAATCAGAGTCTAAAAGATAGCATAATTAAGGTGCAAAACAGTGAAGACTTTAGAGGACAACAGGAAAGAAATTTCCTTATCAGTGGCAGGGGAGAAACTTAAAAGGTGAAAGAAAAAGAGAATGAGGATGGAGGTTTCAGTTGATCTTACTTTTTAAAAAAATTAGCAAGCTCTGATGCAGAGAGGGAGAGCTTTTAAGAAGGAGCAGAAGGTAGGAAATAAGTGGCTTGGTAGTGTGGGTTTTGGAGAGAATGAAGGTGGCACAGCAAAACTTCCTTGTAAGGAATATGGAAAAACGGAGTGAGGAGAAAATGTATTTGTAGTGAACGAAGCACATGTAGTCTCTAGTGGTATTCAGTGGTCATTATCATCATTGTCCTTTACGCATGCTGGCGTATAGGGCAGGAACAATTTTTTATTGCTGTTTCCATAACAAAAGGCTTTTTCTAGGTAAGGGTTGTTAGCCCCAAGCCAAACCCTCAATCCTGGAGGATCAGTGTGCATGCTTAGTCCGGCTCCTTCCCGCTTGACCTTGCCGGCTTGGTTGAACCTACCAGGAACACTAAGCTCCTGCCGGCATAGCTCCTGAGATCATAAGAACATGCAAGCTGCCCCGCCCCGACAATGCGTATGTACAAGGGGCAGGATATTCAGTGGTAGAGCTGGCATAAACATATATATTTTTAAAAATTAATATTTCAAATACTAGTTTGTTCTACTGGGGTTTAAAAAGGGCTAATTTTCTCTCAGAATTTTATGTGAAAATATTTTATTGATTTAAGTTTTCAAAATATAAACGTGTTGTTTCAAAATCTCAGTTTTTGAAAAAAAAGTTTTAAAAACCCTCATCAATTAGTAAGAAAAATGATGAAACACTCCAAACCCCAAAAATAACAAAAAATAGGCAAGAAAGGAAAATTTTGAGATAATAAACATATTTTCATGGGTATTTGGTTTTGAAAAACGGTAATATTTTTGGAAAATTTTCAAACAAAAAATGTGTATCCAGCTCTGATCAGTGGCAGAAGAATGAGAATAAAGGAATCCAGTATTATGAGTGAGTCATGACTGTGATTTAATAGGGGACAGACTTAATAAAAGTATGTGACTGAGAACTATATTTCTCTATATATCAGCACTATATATTAAATATTAATGTACATTATCACTATTTCTGTATCAATTTATTGATATATAATCATGTAATACATCTTGATTTCTATTGTAAATGCAGTCAGATTTTTACCTTGGATATAGTTCTGCAAATTCAGGGATATGGGTAATAGTTCCTAGAAACAGGCAACAGACCACATAAACAGCAAACGTAGCACATAATGAAGTTGACAGAACAAATTTTATAACCACAAAATGTCAGCTCAACCAACTCTTCCTCTGGATGATTTCCTTAGATAAATTAGATACATGAATAAAATATTCTCAGTGTGATAAAATAAATATTGATGGTTTAAATATTTTATCAGAAATTCAACAGAAATGAGCTTTACCTGCCTTTCACTGCACAACAGCGTGTATAACATGATGTTTCTCTATTATGTACCTCATCACACTGTCTACATACAATCTTCTTCCTACTATCACTATTCATTTTTCATATGTCAAGTGCTCATTAACCCTTTAACCCCAGTGGGTGAAAGCCAGTGCTATGATTTTTCCTTATGTACACCCAACACAGGGAAATCGCTGCTCCTAGCACCAAGTGGAAGAATGAATGTAAATGCTTTTGCTTTGTATTGATAATTGTGAGTACATGATACAAGTCTATCACTGGAATGTTTCCAATGGAGTGCTATTATAGTCCACTTAATATGGACTAAAGACTGATGTTTAAAATATTGTGCTATAACTCTTAATTTTGACAATGGTAAAAAATTATTTTATATAATTTAATACATTATAATATATGATAAGATTTTTGGAATGTGTTCTGTATAAAAAGAGCATTATGAAGGAAAAGCTGCCATTCACTTTTTGAAAGTTGGTGGCACTACTATTTCTGATTTGTTAGCATTGCATACTCACTTTCTACAAGAGGAATTGTCTACATGTGTTATGAGGCAGTGGAGAAATAAGCCTCATCTCTCTCTCTGTTGTACATGTCTGTGTATAGGCATATTTGTATATGCTTAACTTTGCTTATTTGTTATCTTCCTTTCCTTAACAATGAAGAAAATGGAGTTCAGAACCAGTGACAAATAGCTGGTGACAATAACTAATTCTTTTTTTGCCAAAGGAAGCCATATGGAAGTGGTTCATGTTATAACAGTTAATGACAAATTGCATGAAAAGACACATAGTTGTAGATTACAGAGCAGGATGTAGCTACAACACATCATAGTATAAGGAAGTGGAAGCTGTTTGTGGTTATTTTGGCCTCTTAGGTAAATACTGTCTAGGCAAACTTTACTTTGTATATGCTACAAGCAGTAATATTTTGTAAGTTTCTATAAACTTCCCCAAAACAACAGGGAGCCAGTCTGGTTTCTTGTGTAAATACGCTTATAAACAGGATTGTTGAAATGTAGTTATATATTTTAGCTAACAAGTCAGGTAATAATCTATTGCATCTATTACAAGATGATTTGCCCTGTATGTTTTAATGTGTTATTCACCAAACGATTGTAACAATTGCTTTAAAGATTATAGGTTGGATTTTCTGGACCAGATGAGCTGCACTTGCTGCAGAACTGATGTGGAATGAGAAAGGGTGGAAGTGTCTTATGCCATCTGTACATCCCCTTGATTCTGGGGTTAACCAGGGGTCAGTTTAGCACTCAATTTAGAGCAGCCCTAAATTGAAGGGTAGATAGCATAGAACAGTTCTACTAGCTCTGTACCACGCAAGGATTTCCCTATACCAGGGGACCCCATTTAATTGATTAAAGTCTCTAGGTCGTACAAGGATCAGGATCTTGCCCAAAACACTCTATAGTTCAAGTACATATTTAGGTACATGTTTTATTTAAAAAAAAATAAAACCTTACAATATCTTTTTAAAGTATATCCTGTACATTTTCAGTCACAGCTTCTCAAAATTTAACAATTTGGACATAGTATTTTTATTTCACAACATATTAAAGATTATTCTTGCTTTTTAATATATTACAATATATACAACATTTGCCCAAGTTTCTAAGTGTTGGTTATTAATTTTTGCCCTGTCATTATTTTAAATAAACTTAAAAAATAACAAATGGTCTGGTAGCACTTTATAGACTAACAAAATGTTTAGAAATAATTTCTGTGTATTTTTGATACATGAAGAGCCTGACCCTGCAGTGCTTACAAATACAAATTTCACATTTTAGGATGTTTTGAGACAGAATTGTAGCAATGACACTCAGATTTTCCCACAGGATGTTTTACCACATCTTTCAAGAAAACTAATTTTTTAAATTTAATTACAACCCCTTCAAAGCAGCAGCATATCTATAGGAACTGTTTTGTGTTGCCCTAAACCAAAAACAGGTCAATGGTTGATGCTGATCAACAGTGTTCTGTATGTCAAAGCTCAGTAAATAGTCTCCTGTCTTTTTAATTGAAGTACCTGGCCAGTGGGTCTCTATCAGCTTTCTTTTGTCACACCCAGTGGTCAAATTGTTAGCAGGCTAGAAGGAACATTGGTCGATGCCTAGTTCATTGTGTTGTGTTTTAAACTTTGACCATCCTGGTGACTAAGAGAGAAAATCTGGCAATTTTTAGTTGAGTTCCCGTTTTGCTTGTGTCCTAGTCTCACTATTTCTTTGAATGAGACACTCTTAGCATAAGAAACATCGCTTCTGAACCTGCCATTGTTAGAAGCAACACACCTCACTCGGTACATCCAACCCACTCTCCTTGCCCCTCCCCTCAGCCAGCGCCTCCTGTCACACACATTCCTCAACTACCCCTCCGCGCCACCACCGACACCCCCTAGCCTGGGTAATCTGCTCTCAGCCCTCCCATCTGGTTCTCACCCCCCCCTCCCCCGCCGGTGTACCCCAAAGGCTGAGCTGTTCTTACACTTCCCCCTCCCCCGTCTGCTTCTCCAGCCCACCTCCCTCCCCGCCTCCGCCCGGCTCCTCCGCCGCTTGGCCTCGCGCCCGCTTAGCTCCTTATCCCCCGGCAGATCTCCTGCGCCGCCCTTCCCCCCGCGGAGGCCGGGGGAGAGCGAAGCCCAGGTAGGGCGCACCGGGGAGGGGAGCAGGCGGCTTCCCAGCGCAGACGGGCGCGTGCAGCCCGAGGCGGAGCTTGTGCACGAGCGGCAAGGGCACGCGCGGAGCCGGTCCCGGCGCAGCAGCAGCAGCAGCGAGCTGCACTAGCGCGCCCGGCGGGGAGGGTTCCCAGCCCACCTCTCAGGCCGGGGAGGGGCTGGCTGCGCCCCGGGGATTTCAGCGAGCGAGAGCCGCAGCTGGCCGGCCCACCCCCCTCTTGCTCCTCCCCCGATTGATTGTATTGGGGGGCGGGCGAAGGGAAGGGGGGTGCGTTACATACCAGCAAAGCAGTTTAGTTCCTGCCGATCCATCACACGCTCAGAAAAGGGACTTGCCCGCGCGCGGGGGTTGGTTTGTTGGGAGAGGGGGGGGGAGAGGAACGGGGGCCCCTTTTGTTTGCGTGGCCTTCTCCCCTCCGCTCCGCCCTCCCCTCCGGTCCCCCCGCTCCGAGGAGGGCAAAGAGAGTAGGAGAAAGGGCTGCCTCGCCACCCCTCCCCCCTCGAGCGGGCCCCCAGTGCAATTCGATGCGTCCCGGGTAAGGCTCCCCCGCGCTATATTGTGTCCTCTCTTGTGTCTGAAGCCTCCACCCACTGGCCCACCCTACATTTAGCACATCATGTGATCCGGGTAAGTCATTTGCAAGTACAACAGTTCTCTGTGTTGCCCCCATTCATTTCCTGAGAACTGCATAGAGCAGCTGAGGGAGACTGTGTGTGTGTGTGTGTGTGTGAGCGAGAGCGAGCGAGTGTGTGCGCGAGAGTGTGTGTGTGTGTGAGGGGGAGGGAGGGAGGGAGCGATCGAGAGGGAGAGGGGACTGTATAAGGGAAAGAAAACAGTTTCTCCTGCTCTGCAGCTTCTGTTCAGGTCTGTGCCTATTCCATTTCTTATCCGAATAAACACCTTTTCTTTTTTCTCTTGCTGTCCCGATCAATCAGCTTTCAGAGACCATTGCATTTTCCGGTCATTAAACCATTTTAAAACGTTAGAAGGCTGATCTCTTGACTGGGGCAAGCATTGGAGGGGTAGGAGGGGGAAGCTTTTGCAAAACAAGGCTATGGGCAAGGCTCTTGTTAAATTACCAGTCAGAAGGACGTTTTCAAACCAACCCAGTCCAAACCAAACCCAGCTTTGTCAAATAATGCATGCGAACGTGTAGTTCACACGGAGTGGGGCTGTTTGGTCACGTAAGTGACAGTGGCAAGGAAACAAGGTGTCATGTTGAATTTGGGGTTTGCTGCTCTAGTTTGTCATTCCAAAAAAAAAAAAAAAATCGGTGTGCATGTTATTTGGAGGAGGAGGGTAATGGGTTAAGATGGGGATGACACTATTTGGCATTAATAGTGGTCATTGTGCTACAGTCATTATTGTCTCCAGTAGTAATGATGTGTAACTGTCACTTGCCACAGTGCATAGTTCATGGAAGTAGCTGGGAGATGGCCTATGGCTGTTCTTTTCAATTAAGGTGGATCTAGCTAGAGTTGACAAGGGAGAACTTTCCATTGAGACCAGTCATGAAATGAAGAGTGTTGAGCGTCATCTTGGGAGCCACCGCAGCTTGTCTGTTATAAGCTTGCTGTAACCTGACGAGTGAGTGCTGACCTCAGTGACATTAGTTTGCATTAAAGCAAGAGGCTTCTTTGCAAGAGGAATCAATTATGATTTTGTTCATTATAGAGTCTACGATCAGAACTTTCAGTGCATGTTTATAAGATCTTGCACATGCATAAGATGATAGATCTGTGGGGGGGGGGGGGGCAGGGGAGGAACAGGAGTACCAAATCCTTTGTGCTATATTCCTTCCATCTCTCCCCTTCTATGCTTCTCTCCTTGCACAAAAAGCTTATAGTTCTGTATTTCTTAATAGTAATAATAACTTTAATTCAACTGATAAAAGCTGACTGTGCTCAGTTAAAGTCTAAGTACAGTGGAATGTGTAATCTGGATAAATAGTCTATGTAGTTGATATTGTCAATCTTACTAATTTAACTATTCAGATGATTAAATAACTGTTCTATACAGATAATTTTAAGAAATTCTAGTGAGTAATGTTGATTTTTTATCAAACTGATTATTAAAAAAATAAGTGACTGCTCTACTAGTTACACTCCAATGCTGGGGAAACAAACACTCTAAAATTTACATTAAAAGCATGTGCATAGAGCTGCTACCGCAGACGAGTGCCAGTCAAGCAAACGTCACCCTGTAAATCCACCTAAACCATTCCATTCTCTTTTCTTACTGGAGGATAGAGTTGTTTAGCCAAGTAATGATCTGACATGAAATGTTACTGATGACAGGCAGGGTGGTGCAGGAGTTTGCAATGTGAAAAGGAGTGGTCACTTTTAAATACTGGGTGTATTCCTGTTAGAATTTTTTAAACTGTCATTTACAGAAACATAATTTTAATTCAGTCTCAAGAAGCAGTCACTTCAAATATGGGTTATGTGGTGTTATTGTCGCCAGCTATTGCCAGTTTTGTTGATATTATTTTATGCATTTAAAATGAGGAAAAAAGTGAGCTGTTTTTATGTAAGATATTGAAGATAAACAGTTTAGTTCCTTTCATTTCTTATATTAGCCTTGTAAAATTCTACATGCCTATGGCAATTTTTCTTCCTGCAGAGAAGGCAAACCATCTCTTTTTTCATGATCAGTCATGATGTTTATTTTATTTTATTTTATTTTATTTTATTTTATTTTATGCCGTGGCAGGCAGACATTCGTTGCAACTTTGCAAGGGTGCTTTATATAGTACTGGTGTATGCCCTCCATTTTCTGGTTGGTCTCCAAGTCTAAAATGTTACAGGAACAGCAAAGTAGTCTCTATTGTAGAATTAGTAATTATGCTGAATATATTGGAAATGAGGGTGACATGGGTATTTTATTGATTTTATATAGCTATAGTAAATCTAGGCTGAATGCTTGCTTTTATATACTTTGTGTATGTGTGTGTAAAGCTTTTTAACAGGACACGGTCAACTTAAACATTTCATTACTGTCTGAAAATGTTACACCCTCTAGAGCAGTAGTTCTCAATCTTTCCAGACTACTGTACAGCTTTCAGGAGTCTGATTTGTCTTGCATACCCCATTTTTACTTCACTTGAAAAGACATAAAAATACAAAAGCGTCACAGCACATTATTGCTGAAACATTACTTTTTCATTTCATATGAAATTTTTGTTTGTACTGACTTTGATAGTGCTTATTCATGTAGCCTGTTTATAAATTTAGGCAAATATCTAGATGAGTTGATGTACTTCCTGGAAGACCTCTGTGAACTCCCAGGGGTATATCTACCCTTGGTTGAGAATCTCGGATCTAGGGTCACAAATGAATCCTTGTGACCACCATTGCTGAAAGAAGTTAGCAAATACAATGTTCTCTATTTTTTATCTTTATAGCTTTGGCTACATATATGTACAGTTATTTTTGCTGTTTTGGTGATGGTCATTTTGCCTTGTCTGTATCATGCCCTAGCATGATGGCATCACTTGTTCATTGTTCTGAAGGGGCCCATATGCACACTCTTCCCCAGGTGGTGGAGTAAGTGGGATTTGCCAGAAGCAGCAGAACTGCTGAAGTTCCTGAGTTTGGAGCAAGGAGAGTATTTGCTTTTCTACGGATTTCTATTTGGAGACAAAAAAAAGACAGTAAAGAGTGGACAGTAAAGAGAACACCCATCTTTACATCGGACTTTCATGGAAACGGAAGCTTTAGAAAGTGAGTTGGGGAATGCAGTGATGAAACCTATCCTGGAGTGCTGTGAAAACCTCCAGTTTCTTTTTTATATTGCACCATGGAGACTGGGGAGAAGCTGAAGGTTGACATGGAGGTCGGGGAGCTCTCCTGCGCCAGGTCTCTCTCTGTGATCCAGGAGCTGTGGGTGCCTAGGAGGTGGGGTGGCAGCAGGAGGAAACATTTTTGATTCTCTTTTCTACTTTGCTATTCCGGATGCTACTGCTGCTATTGTAGAAGCTGGCTGGCATGTGCAGGGGTGAGGGTTGTGGCCAATCACATTTGCTGGTGGTGTTCTCAGGCCTGCATAGCGTCTCTTGTTGAAAAATCTCTTGATTGACCCAAATAGAAAAATGCTTATAAATATTTTTAAAGGAATTGTGTTAAGATTTAGGTATAAGATTCAAAGGCTGCTCTGTTAGAATTTTTGTTGAAACTAGTCAGTTGAAAAAATACTCAAGTTGACTGTCACTTTAAAAGAGAGATCCTCTAATATTTTGGGCTTGATTCTGCCCTTTGCTATGGCGATTCACTGGAATGGGCATGGCAAGGGGCTTAGACTATAAACTCTTTGGAGTAAGGAACCACCTTTTTATTCTTTGTACAATGCCTAGCACATTGGGGTCTTGGTCTATGAGTGCAATGTCTGGGTAACGCCACAATACATGTAATAATATATAGAGCTTTTTTCCTTTGCATGAAGACAGACACAGGGATGGATCTGAATGGCAGACTGCAACTGGGAGGGGGGTCTGTTCACTCTAACAGTCAAGGACCTTTTATTATACTAATGTCAATGGACAAAATGCTCAGTGAATTCAGTGGGATCAGGATTAAACTCTAAGAAAGCCCGGAGGGAGAATATTCAATACTGGAGGTGTGGTTAGGGTTTGGGTGTGCCAAGTAACAGCCAATAGTTATGAAAATGTGGGTACATCTCCTGAATAGGGAAGAAACAATGTGTGTCCTCTGTTTGTACTAACCTGTGCTGAGCCATAATTCTCTGAAGCTGCAGGATTGCATTTGTGAAGCTTGTGTGGCTGGCACTACTCCTCACATTGCTACCCAATCACCTGGTCTGCTCCTTAAAGAAAGGGGATAGCATTTTTGCCTATGGATTGCAGGAAAATACATCTTAAAAAATGTATCTGGGACTCTTGCATTCAGGTAAAACATTGTTTCCTAAGGGTATGATTTTGTTTGAGAAACTATTTATATTTGTCAGATCAGCTGTGTGCCCACCCCTGGATAAATTTATTTTTATTAGAGGAATGAAAAAATAATTAACATTATTTTTGTCAAATGTTTTGTCTGTGGCTCATCAATGTTGTTCCCTCACTCCTTTTGTATGGAAATGACTGTGGTTTACTTTTCTCTGATATTAAAAAAATAATAATTTCCCCTTCCAAGAAATTAGATTTCATTTTTGGAAAAACTGATACTGGTGCAGCACTGAGGCCTTGACCTTCTCAACTCTTGGCTAGTGGTTGTTTACTACAGCTGCAGCTTGTGTGTGCATGGCAGGGGAGGAGCTCAAACACAAGCATGCTCACTTTCTCCAACTAAAATAAAACATATTAAAAATCATATTTCACAGTGAGCAATAGCGAGACAGTGTTAAACAGTCATATTGAGGCTTTTTCTATATTCATACGCAGAATATGCTAGGTTATGTCTGTAAAACAGTCTGACCCTTGAAAGTGCAAATGTGAAAGCATGAAATGGCTAAACTTCTCATGCACCGAAGAAAGTATTTCCTTTTTAAAAAGATGAAATACAAGCTTGATGTTAGGAAAGAGAAACAAAACATTTTAATATAGGTCAGAGTTGTTCAGTCAATCAAGAGCACTTGTGTAACTTCACCCAGAGAGAAGTAAGGGTTCAACAAGTGAACTTTACACAATCCTCTTTTCTCAACTAAACAATATGGAAAGGGAAGATTTTTTTTTGTTTAAAGGCCACATTCAATGAGAAAATAAACAAGCAAAAGAATAATATTTGAAGAATCACAATGTCAAAATGACTGTTTTAGTTTTAATATCTTTAAAAACAACTCTTTTGAAAATCTTGGCAAGAGTGTGGACTCTGGTTCTAGTACTTGTCACCACTGGAAAAGTGGGCAAACTT